GTTAGGGAGTTGTTTTTTGTAAATAACATATTTTCACACAACATATTTTTTCTTAATTTTTGTATAACTACTCGTGCAATAAAGACAAAAACAAATTTACATATAGAATGGAAATCGGTTTGGCCGTTTAATAGTTCTAGGAACGGACATAGGGACACACATTCAGGTCAAACTAATTATAACCCTCCTTTTGGGTTTCGCCGCAGACGATCAAAATAGATCTCAATGATGGGCCCTTACTACCTACCTGTAGGTACAAAAAATCTTACTTATTTAGTATAAGATGTTGATGTTGTTATTTAATTTTTATACATTACCAGCATAACCGCCACTTCGAAGTGATTTTGATTTTAAAGTGTTCACCTAAGGATAATATGTTTTTAGAACTACATGAAAATCGGATTTTGTCTCGATTTTTAAAGCTTTTTTTGTTCCTATCCCTAAATATTTTAGGTTGAAAATTTGCTGCAGTTACTTGTTAAATAGTCAGCTACCTGCTAGTAAAATCTAAATCAAAATAAAATCAAAGGTTAACAGGAACAACAATTTTGATATAAAAAACAGACACTTCAATTACATTTATTTGTATTGATTACATCTTCATGTATGTTTCCATATGAAGTACTTTCTTCATCCTAAACCAATTTTGGGGTATAGGTATACAAACTTATATACTTTAGCGTTTCATTGGGTAGGTATTTATTTACATATCTTTGTTTGCCTGACGTGTTTGCCGACCAGACTGCAATGGAAGTGGTCACAAATCGAGCACAAGTATGCTATAGGCCGTTTACACGCATGGCGAGCCTCGACAAGTGTCCACAACCACAAGTGCGTAAACGGGGTGTTTGGCTCGGCTCGCGTAGGCTCGTCGTCGATCGGTACTACTTAGTGTCCGAGCTTCCTTTGATCTGTGTTCCCTCGGAGCTTATGGACGTTTGCCTAACCTCGGCACGCATGTAAACTAGGCATTACATGCAATCTATTTTTATCATCTTATCATCTTCTTAGACATGACAAGACTGATAGTGATAAAATAAATATTTTAAACACTCCTATGTCGTTGAATACATAAACTATCATTTTATAAAATTCAATATAAGTACAAAGTGATTTTGGTTAAAATTGATGTCTCTCATAGATAATTAGATATGCATCAAGATTCCCGCTCAAGTCAAGCATTTGTGTGCATGAACATTTAATGTTTGATTTGGTCTGGGTGTTTCTATGTATAATATGTATGTATTTACAAAAATAAAAAAGTATATAATGTATTTATATCAGTTGTCTAGTACCCATAGTACAAGCTCTGCTTAGTTTGGGACTAGATGGCGTTGTGTGAATGTGGTAGAATATTATTATTATTATCCTTATTTCATTCTTTATACATATAAATTACATTTTTAAATATATTTATATACAAAAAAAAAAAAAAAAAATTTTTAAAAAATTAAAAAAATAGTAAAATATTATTTTTTTTTATTACTTTATAACATATTTTACTTTTTTAAATATACACTTATAAAAAAATACTTTTAAAAAATAAAAAAATAGTAGACCACCGACATGGGTACGGGGACCAGACACCGGGGTTTAGGACCCAAAAGTGGGAAAACCCCCTCCATACGACCCGTGTAAAGGAGGACTCCCTTCTCATCAGCCCCTTTGTCCAGCCACCCAAAAGTGAGCCTCTTAAGGTGTGGTCGAGGCTTTTGCTATCAATCCATGACAATAGCTATGGAACAAGGGATCACTGAATAAAATTCCACAATCGCAATCTCGTGAGATAAATCCAATATTAAATTTGTTTTTCTTTTCAACTTCACGGATTCTCGTAAAGAGGAAGGCGATAAAACAATCATTGCGGGCGCTCAATCGATTATAAAACAAAATCGGGGCTTATTGGCAACAATAGTCCTGTCTGTGTAATTCGATCCCAATAAAAACGGGGCCCCGGGACCATTTCGAGAACGGGGTGGGGGCACATCCCTATAGTAGGGCCCCTCTAGATTCACAAGATGGTTTTTTAAGGGGAAAAGCTTTTGGTGAAAAAACCCTGGCTATTGGTTGTGCCTGTGAAATTTTCTCCGTTACAAACGAGAAAAACCAGAAATAATTCCTGATTGATTCGCCAGGCCCGGGGGCATCCCCGACAGATGTCAACCGTCCCCATTTTTCAGGTTTAATTTCCGTAGTTTATTGTCAGATAACTTCGTCCATAATCGCAAAAAAAAACCCTTTCTTTTTTCCCAAAGAGAACCAGCCTACCCAAAGTCGTAATGTTTTTAAATCTATATCGGCCCCTTTTTAGGGCCCGATAAAACCGACCATGGAGCTCTTTGCCCTTCCATACTTCCCTGCGATCATTAACAAAAGTCTACGGGTTTTCTGCCCCAATTCTCTTTAGCCAGAGCGAGCGGGGTGAAGCGGTATCCACTGCAAACATTCGATGCCCCCCCTGGGTATGAGAAAAAATATTCTCTGAGATTGCTTTACCTCGCGATTATTAGGGCTTGATATTAATAGACCCCGACCCCCAGCTTTCGCGGGATATACAATCTCTAACTGAAAAACGTGGGTGGTCATTGGGATGCGTCAGCAGTGTGCGGATTTCCTGTCAAGGGCCCTCTAATTCGGTCTGAGTCCATCTAAATATACCAAAGGAATACATTAGAAAACCGGCATGACCCAACCATTTTCAGGCTCGCACCTTGTTTCCCCCCTGAAAAAGACTTTTTAAAATTTTTTCAAGCGGCCAAAAAAAACGTTTTTTCCCGCAATGTTTTTTTTCTGTTAGATTCTGGGATTCCCAAAGACCGTGAATTTACCCGAACTTTTAAGACGTGGCAGACAAGATCTGAGTTTTGGGGAATCCAAAAGCCTTTCCTCAGATTTTAACTATCACAAACCCCTTTTTTACATACATGACTGCACCTTGTCCCACACCCAAATCCATTTTGATAGAATTACTTTAAGTTTTCCGTCCCTTTAGTAACTTTGTCAATTTTAATTTTGTGGGGCTAACATTTCAAATCATCCTATAAAGAAGGGGATTTTTTAAATTGATCTCTTTCTGAACCTTAGCCTAACCTGAAACCCCCTAATAAAGTGCCCAAAAAGGGTTTCAAGCCAGCAAAACCACAAAAGGGCTTCAGACTATCACCTTGAAATAACCCGCTCGACTTTTTTTAGAAATCGTGTACCGTCTGCCCCACATCTGGATAGCGAAGTGCCGTTCTCCATTGCCCCCAAAATGACTTCAAAAAAGGCACAGGTTTGTATCAATTTTATACAACTCCAGCCCTTCAAAAGCCATGTGTGGGAAACCCAGTCATAAGCCTTCTTATAATCTATCCAACACGTGCCCCCAAAATCTTTTCGATTACAAAAATACCTGTTGGCTAATGGTCATGTCTATGATAAGGAGGTCTTTAGTGCCACGGGTCCCACTTCTACATAGATAATTATATTATTATTATTATTATAATACGCTAGTCAGGTTGTCGGCACTCAAAACTGAAAAAAAAACTGAAATGTTTGCTTACCGGTTCTGGTAATAGTAGTCCAAGAACTGGCAGACAATCTTGACAGATATTGTAGGCGTCATGAAAAGTGATAATACCTTAGTAATTCTAAATGCGAAATCGGCATCTGGTGAAAGGGTTTGTAAATTTATGAAAACTGTTTCTTTAATTTTGTCGGGGGTTTTTTTTAAAAAAATTTTTGAAGCATTTTGAACTGTAATTCTTATTTTGTATTCATTTAAATAAAAAAGCAGGATCATTTTATTTGGGTTTAAAGTATGGTTTTAAAGTTTCATATTAAAATTTATTAAAACCCATCGAAATTATTTGAAGCAAGTTGAATTTATTTTAGGGGAAAAATAAAAAAATATTTAATTTCAATAAGGGAGGTTTTTCAGTGAGATTTATTAACTGCCCGATAATTGGTACGATAGCATATGCAGACATGAGGATACGCTTTTTGGGGAAGTGAAAAACATTTTATAGATGATACCAATTTCTTGAAGCATCAAATTTTAACAAAAAAGTCGTACCTAAATACTTTTTATTTATTCTGTTCGGACAACAATACTTAATTTTTGCATCTTGGTTTAAAGTGATTTTGGCGGAGTAAAGGGGGGACTTGTAACTCCCCATGGTAATAAACTCTTTTGGGCTTGCTCTCTTGTAAACTTGTATGAAAGATTAATTTAAATTTTCCCAAAATACGCATGACGAAATTGAAAAGCAAAGAAAAATTGTCAATGTGACTTCCCACCAATGTTTGGTTTTTAAAAA